CATTATACAGTCTATCTCAGATCCGATATATTAGCGCTACTATGAATATTTTTGATGTGAATATTTTTCATTCACTCTTCAAATACCAATTCTTTTAACAGCTCATTATTCAACAAATATAGAGCTTGATAATCCCCACTAGAAGCTTGCGAACAGCGAGTGACGATTAATGGCCTCACGTTTTTAGAGGCCTAGTTTATATAATTCGTTTCAAACATTAAATAAAATTTGAGTTGTATATTATTATTATATACAAATCATTATTATTTAAGAGAACAGCCACTAGAATGCATATCGTCATATAGACCAATTTCAATTTTACCAACCATTTCGAAGCTCTTTGAAAAGCTATTCTACAAGAGACTAATGCCTATAATAGAATCCTAAAAGCTATCAATTTGGTTTTCGTAGTAAACATTCGACTATAGATCAAGTACACCGCAGTGTCGATGAAATTGAAAGGGCTATTGAAGGTGAAAAAGTGTGTTCTGTTGTATTCTTCGATGTCGCACAGGCTTTCGACAAAGTCTGGTACAAAGGTCTTTTGAATAAACTAGAAACATGTTTGCCGTCGTCATATTTTGCGATTTTGAAGTCTTACATAACCTCTAGGTTTTTTAAAACACGAAAACTGCTATTCAAATCTTTCTGCGATAAAAGCTGGTGTACCTCAGGGGAGTGTACTTGGTCCACTACTATACCTGCTTTACACAATGGACTTGCCAATAACACCCGAAACTAAAATTCTAACATTTGCTGATGATACTGCTATTTTGGCGATTGCTGACTCTGCTGGTTCTACGGTTCTATGGAACATTTTGAAAGCACCATGGTACATTAGGAACAGCGATATACACCGCGATCGTCCACAGTCGCTGAAGAAATAAAAAAGAAAGCAACATGTTAACACAGAAGCTGTTAACATCATAACCTCGTATGGACAACAAAGAAGACTAAAACGACGAAATGTCGCTGACATGGGATTGAATTAGAATGTAAAGTAATTTGTGTAGAAAATTGCTTATTTATGTTTGTATATTATTTATCAGATTTAAGCTACTCGTTATTTATAATGTAAATATAGTTGTAGCAATAAATAATTAAAAAAAAAAAATTTAAGAGAACATGATTTTATCTTATCATATATAGTTTTAAACAACAACAATTCATTGCATAAAATCGATTTTAATCTGACTCCAGAATATATAGATACAATACATGATTTCACAGAAGAAATGGAATACGAAAAGAACTATATAATATTATAAAAACATTTTGTTTCAATATTTAATATTATGAAATACATAATTATCGATTTTTCATTATCTAAAGTAAACGTAATTAAAAAACACTAGTGATTGACATTTCAATCATATTCAGTACATTGTATGGATCTTAGCAATAAGTGGAAAATATGTTACCACTGAAACGTTATCTACAAGACAGCTTACAGTTCTGGAGTCTTTCGCCGTAATTTTCAATGACTTGTCGGCACATAATTTATCATCTAAATATTGTTCTTATGGTTTTTAAATTTAATAAAGATGAAGGTGTAGTCCCAAATCCATGTCAATTATCATGTCAATCACATGTCAATTAATGGATTCATTTGGATCTTTTACTAACTTTTACTAACAGCAACATTCATCGTAACGTCGAGCGTACGTTACGATGATATATATTTTGCCCTTATCACATCTGTTAGAAAATCAGTTTTTTCAAATATCTTTACAGTTTTAACTATAGTATAACCAGATAAACCTATATATATATTATACACCCTTAATTTCAACCACGTTCTGACCGTTTTTTACTAAAATATTCCAAATATTTCTTCAAAACTGGCACAAATGCTTCTAGAGTCATCTTTTTAGTTTAATGCTATACCAAAAATAGAATGTTCCAGATAATATAGTAAATAATAAACTAACTATATAATAGACTAAGTGAAGAATTCAAAAAATATATATAACTGTTATCAATCATTAATTTTCGTTCACAAATAATGTATACGATCTACCGTAGCCATTCAGAAACACCGTAGCCATTCAGAAACACCGTAGCCATTTTTTTTCCTGATCACTTTTAGCCTTTGTTTTTTTATTTGTGTCTTTAACTGTGATCATTCCAATTAATCATTGACTTAAGCCTTAGTAATTCATAATCTTCACATTCCCACAAAATATAACTTCCTTATCGTCCATTCTGACTTTATCCACCTTGCGACCAAGCCTATTTTTATACAATATCATCGTATGCAAATCGCTTTTCATCACCTCTTCCCTAGGGTTCAGAATTGTTCAAATTTCATTGCTATTAAATTCGGTCCATTGCAATTTTTTACTCAGTTTATAAGGCACGAAAACATTTACCATCTCTTTGTAAACAGCTTAAAACAAGTGATTTAAAAATGTCTTATGATTGATCTTTAGTTTTTAAGCAATGTTGTGACTATTCACATTACAGCCTTATGGAACCTTGTCCGTTATTTCACGGAGATCTATTAAGCAGATAAAGATGCTTGCAAGACGTATATATGGATTAGGATATTGGGTAGTGGCGAGGATATTAGGCGAGGGTAGTGTGAGAGAGGAGGATTGTTTAGGACTAAAAATGGTTTGCGAATGGATTAGATTAGATATTGAAACTAACCTGTGTCAAGTCGGAGAAACCTGACCACTTTATATCTATTCTTAATTGGAATAAATAATTCCCTGGAATTATCAAGCAAAGGCTTCTTAAAAAGTTTGTTGGTGTGCAACTCTGTTCACAAAGAAAATATTACATCTGTGTGGAGTGTGGTGAGTCCATGTTTGTATTTGACGTCACTGAAGTTAACTCCAATGCAATAGATGTGGATGTAAATGTTGTAAGAAAAATGAGATCGACGGAAGGTTTGTGCCGGGTGGGATCTTTTGATATCGTTGCCATTAGGATTTTCATCTATGTGTGACACGCTAATAGCTATTGCTTGAACACTAGTTAATGGCGTTTCTTTCGTAACGAAAGTAATTTGTGATTTAGAATTATTAAATCTAATAATTTAAATATTATTAGATTTCTTATTTAAGCATGAAAAAAAATTTATTTAGTCCCAGTTTCTAAATTGAAGTACTGAAATACTTATTCACAATGTAACTAACATAATCTGTAGTAACTCATTAATTTATGTGGCGTTTGGAAAATCGAAATCGTACACTGACATTCAATAAATAAACTCTTTTTTCAAATTTATAAAAATCTAAATTTTTTTAATGTGTATCAGATCTTTTATTATATATATTAATATTTAGTTGTTTATGTTATAATCCAAATTTTTAATTGCGTTTAATTGGACTTGTATTCTAAAATTTCACAAAAAGTTGTTTGTATTTTCGATTAAAATTGCATATTTAATTACAAATTTTTATAAATGTTTGTTTAAATATTTTTCGCATCTAATGTAACTCGATTCTTCAAATTTAATATATTTTCCTTGTTCATATAAACTTATTTCATAATTATTTTTCTATATATTTTTTTTATAACTTCTTCGATTAGCTTTAATTCATTAGAATTTAACTTTAAGTTTATTATTAATATAAATATTTTAATTTTAATTTAAGTTTTAAGTTTAATACAACTTATAAATAATATTATGATACATTTGTTTGTTTTTTTTTAATTCAATGTTTCCGTGTTATTGGTTGTTTTGATATTTGTTAAAAACAAATTATTAATAACAAAGTAATTGCAATCACAAAATATATATATATATTGCACTCACATTAGAAAAGAATATAGACAAATGTATAATACAGAATACAAAATTAATATATTTTGCTATTTAAGGATCTTGCCATTTGGAATTGTTAAGAAAAAAAACAAAATTAATTTTAAAAATTGAATAATATATATTTTACAATTTTATTAAAGCATTATCAACATATATTGTAGTTTCATGCAAAGCTTCTTTATTAATACGAATAATATTACTTTCATGCAGTGTTTACACACATAGCTTAAAATAAATAAATTACTATTGATTAAACTAATTTAAGGAAAATTGAAAAGAACTAATTAAATTAAATTAATAAAAATTTTATACAATTTTATAGAATATAATTTTGTTTACTTATTTTACGGCATTTTATATATTTTAATTACACAATCTGGCATTATTTTCATATCCCATTTCGATACTAATAAATATCAGATAAAAACAAATCTGGTAGTACTTAGCAATTATAAAAAATAATCTATATTCCCGACTCTGTTTGTTTCAAAGTGGATATATCGTAAGCTACATAATACATTATTATACATAATTCCTATGTAAAAACATGTATACATGTATGTATAAAATCATATTTACATCTGCGTTTATCAATCTAAGATGTAATATGAAGGTTTTAAATATAATTAAAAACCTTAAAATTTAACCATGTTTACGCTTATCCTAGAGTTATGACAAAAATCAAGACAAGTAGCTAGCTAGCAGCTAGACAAAAAAATTTACAGATTAAATTGACTATGTATAAAACTAAAATTAAACTAAGAATGAATGAAACAAATGGTTAGGCATTTGTTGAACATTGGTTAGCAACACCAGTTGTGTTGGTCATATTACCACAATTTTGTGGTTGATAAAGATAATTTCGCAGAGCTAAAGTTGGGTGGCTTGGAGAATATTGAACTGCTTGCTGAACTGGCAATTCATTCGCATATATAACATTAAAATATTGTTGCTGTTGTTGTGTTTGTTGTGGTTGTTGTTGTTGTTGCTGCTGTTGTTGCTGCTGTTGTTGTTGCTGTTGCTGATGCTGATGCATCTGCTCTTGTAAGAAAGTCGTTTGTATTGCATTAGTTTGCTGATTTACAAAGGATAATGTTAACGGCGGGTGCAATTGTTGCTTTGTTTCTACTTGATATAAAAATGGTGTTGAACTTGGCATGGTCGTTGTTATTACTTCATTATTGTTGTTATTATTATTTGTTGCTATAGTATTAGTGATATTTGATTTTGTCTATAAACCTGATATGACAACTTCATGCTGCCCATCTTCGTCTATTTCCAATATTTCCTGTTTATGAATTATAACGCGCCCATCTTCGGTGGTAATTGTTGTGGCTGCAGGTTGCTGAGGTAGCTGTGCGGGCTGACGTGGCGCTGTTTGGCCTATAAAATATAACAACAACAAAAAAATCATTTTACATTACATTAACTATAATAATTTACTATAAAATTTATATGCTAGATTATATACTAAGATATAACAGATGTCAATGTTGCTGATGAAGTTGCGAAGTAGGATGTAACAAAGTTCTAATATGAAAGAGCGAATTATGATGCAGATCTTTATATTTTAATTTTAGAAAATGAGAAAGCGGATGCAAATGTTAAATTGCTTAAATAAGAAATTTGATAATAACACATATGCGTTATTACTAGTTTTATTATATTTATCAATAAGAGTAGTTGTTATACCATTCTGCCTTGACGAAGAACTCAAAACAAAATTGCTAAACGTGGTCCGTCTATTTTATATAGAAAAGTATTATAAAAATAAAAATTATTTTTATGTGAATTTGTGTTATCTATAATATTTTTTATATATTTTTTATTTAGTAATACCAACGTTTCGAAGTTTTTTTTTGTGAGTTTAATAACTGTGTTATTAAAATTATTAAAGTCATGTGCCGATTATCAATCCGCTTTATTCCATAAAACGGAAATGTTTAAATGATACCAGAAGAGGGCGGGTCTACGAACCCAAATCAGTGGTCTTAAGAGTTACAATAACAAAAGTTTATTGGCAACAAAATGACAAAAAAACTTTATGTTTAATAGGTAAGTTTTTTAGCTGATCATGCATTGGGAAATTTTGTGTATTTCCCAATATCGATCTTAACTCTATTTTGAACATATTTTATGGATGAAATTGTTGGTATATAATTTATAAACTGCAAGCACCAAAGATAAGGCTTGGACTCTCAAAGAAATTGTAAATTTCAAATATCAGTATTACTACTCCAATTAAGTCCGTGTATTTCTTAAGATGATCAATACTAGTACATTACTTCCACCAGAAAAGATATGAATATTGTATTTTAGTTTAAAAGAAAATTTAAACAGTAGTAGTACATCTCATTTTTTAAATGGTCTAAGATAACAAAACCAGTTACTATTAAAAAACGAATTATTCGGCTAAAAGTTCTCCATATTTTAAACATTAATATATTAAATAAAATTTGATACTGATGTTATATTGCAGATTATCAAGTTGTTTCAGGGATGGCAATGCTTTGTATTTCATTTATAAACTAAAATAAAGCTAAAACAATGCTTTCAATGCAAGATATTGACTTAATTAATAAAAAAAAACACTGTCCTTAAAATTCCACAAAAAAAATAAACTCTTCCTTCAAACCTCTCTATAGCGAACCTCCCTATAATGAATTCTTCTCTATAATAAAATTTTGTTGAAGACACACTGACTTTTTGAATTTGTTCATATATTTGAACCTCTTTATAGCGAACCTCTTTATAGCGAATTCGTCTCTATAACGAGAGGAACACATATGTGTATGCTCTTGCATTTAAAAGGAGAGGTAGAGAATTTTCAAAGAGGTTTAGAAATTTTTAAGTCTATTCATTTGTTGTAAGAGTTTCTTGACAAAGAAAAAGTAAAAATGTCCAAATAAGCAAAAATATCAGACTTTTTTCGAGTTAAATATAATAATAAATTATAATAATTTAAATTATGTATTATAATAAATTAAATAGTAATAAATAAAAATAGTTTCTCTAAATACAAAATAATATTTTATTAATATTTTTAATGTTATGTATGTTTATATGAATAAACATGAATTGAAACATATTTTTTAAATAAATTCCCTACGAAATGCAAAAAATTGTTTAACCTCTCTATATGCAGACACCAATGGCTTCGTTATAGTATATACAATATACTGTATATACAATATATGTGAATGGATACACGCTTTTATCATAGCTCGGACAAGTTTACTTTCAAATTTAAAGAAGCAAGAATTTAAGAATATTTAAATGGCAGTCCTCAAATTGAAATAGCAAAAAAATAAAAAATTAATGTTTATGTTTAACTTGATAAATTCCGTTAAAACGGTTCATTTGTGTGAAGCCTCTTGCAAGACTACTCGTCGAATGGATTGAACCATAGGAGTACGCAGGCGTACCCTTGAAGCTGCTTTCAAAACTTAAAGATCAGCCGAATAGCCAATGATAACTAAAAAGCATTTGTAAAAGAAGATTTTTTGTTAGGCTCTAATTAATATTAATATACTTCATTTGTATTAAATTTAACGCGGAGCCACTTATATTGGACTATTGCTAAATGGAAGACATTTAATATATTTGATTCTAATCGGATGTGCACAAAACGCTGCGATAAAGGAAAACGTTTACATCCACGTAACTGGCAAGTGACGGTGAAGCATGCGTTTGGGTCAATAATGATTTGGGCGTGCTTCTTTGGATTTGGACTTCATTTGATCTTCCAATCCAATCCTTTATTGGGTTTAGACTCCAAATTCATCAAATTATAGACCAACATGTGTAAAAAAATATATTTTAGAAAACCATATGTTCCCCCATGCCGATGGGAAAACGTCGCTTCGACGGATATATCAGCACGATAACGGCCTGAAACATATCTCAAAGCTGGTAAACGAAAGAATTTTGAACAAAGCATCATAATTAACGAATTGTTTTGATACACAGCGTAGTAATGGTGAACAGAGTGAAAAGCTTAAACTACAAACGAGGGTAGATAGCTAACAAAAATCCGTACAATAAAACATATATGGAAGTAAATTAAAAAGGAACAGTTATTGAAGAGGGGGGAGGCGTTTACAATGAAATACTTAAAAAGAAGTAGTCATATTGCGAGGTATGAATATATTTATTTTATTTATTTGTCATTAAAAAAAAAATTTGTCCTTGCGGTGGTATCAACTAAAACAGCAATTTTCTGTGAATAAGATTCTATAAGGCACTGTTGGTTTCCAAAACGAAAAATTTAATAAATAATAATAGATAGAATATTTTATACATATATGGGTAATATGAACTGACACGTCTTCTGTATGTTGCCAAACATCTAACAAAATCAAATAACTCCTAAATTGCCAATAGTTTCACGGTTTATTACTTAAACTTTGGTAAAATACATGCAGTATATTTTGGATTTTTGACTTTTAGCTCCAAACCAAAAATAACTGAACAAACGAAATAAGCAACTACAAAAATTGTGGAGCAGGGAAGTTTACGTGATAGCAAGGTAAAAAATATTTTAAATCAATTCGCGTATCATTTTGACATACTACAGCAATGAATCACTCACTGTAAGTACGTTTAAGTAAGGTCAATGCTTACACATAAAACACTAAGCTGATACCAAGAGCCGTATCTACGTCTCAAAAACATGTCTTGACAATTTATCGACCACCCATCTACTAAGCAGTGGGTAAGAATAACAACAAAACATTACAGAAGCACAATAACCCATCCACAGACTCTGTCTTCTGCTACCTACTCAAAGTAAGTATATAATACCCGTTACATATTCGTCAAAGTATATGTCTTAACTATATTTATAAGCAATTGATGTTTCTGTTTCCTAGGCAATTAAATACTTTACCACAACCATAACAACACAAAATATGAATAGTCAAACAAAAGTCGCAGTAAAAATGTGGTACATATGAGAAACTAATACAGAATTTGCTACCAAAGACTTTTAAATTGAATCTTTGAATATTGTTCTATTTTGCCTTTGTCAGTGTAATTTTACACTAAACATAATATATATTTTGAAAATTTCTGATAGATGATATTTTGCAACATATGAATCTATAATATCATTATAATAGCCCAAGGTAACTTGAAAAGTAAGGGTATAAAAGGATCGCAGAGCTAATTGGGGTACTAATATTAATAATAATAAATAAATACTGAAAATATATCTCACCATATTTCTGATGAATTCCTCTATGTCGTTTCAATGCAAAACGATCTGCAAAGGCAGCTGAGCAAATATCACATTTAAATGGTTTTTCGCCTGAATGTACTTTAGCGTGATTCTTTAAATGTGCTGCTTGCGAAAACGCAGAGCCACATATATCGCATTTGTAGGGTTTTTCACCAGTATGAATTCGACGATGATTCCATAATGTAGCATGACGAGCAAAGCCTTTATCGCACACCTCACAAACGTACGGTCGTTCTCCACTGTGAGTACGTTCGTGATTTTTTAGATGCGGCGATTGCGAAAACTGCATACCGCAGGTTTGGCATCTAAATTTTACAACAACATTGTTTTACTTTATTAAGCACATATCAATTTTTACTTTAAGCAAGTACTCACTTGTAGGGTTTTTCGCCAGTATGTATTCTGGCATGATTTTTCAAATAAACTGCCTTGGCAAAGGCTAAACCACATATAGAGCACTTATAATTCTTCTCGCCACTGTGGAGTTTTTTATGCGACCATAAACTGGAATAACGTGAGAAAGTGCCTCCACAAATATTGCACGTAAATGGTTTTGGATTTCTATAAGTGTAAAACTGAACTATAGTATCTTTATCAAATTCTGCTACAATTTTTTTTCCTTACTCTGATTTAACATTATTTGCCGGTGACTTCGACTGTGAATTCCCGCCACCAACAAATATAAAGCCGGAACCATTACATTTATAGCACTTTGTTACTTGCTGTGTGTTACGCTTTTTAACTGGGTGGTGACCGGCAGCCACCGTGGCTGTTGGTGTTGAATTTTCTCTTTTAATACTAGGCGACGCTTGCTGTTGTACAATTTGTTGCACATGTACTTGAGGGGATTGCGTTGTTGCAGTTATAATTTGTACAGGTTGTATTTGGTTTGGTATTATAGTTTGACCAGTTATGGAATCCATCGAAGATTCTGACGTGCCACTGGGCAACTCATTTAGTTCGAATTTAATTTCACCATCAGGCGCAACAAATATTTGTGTATTAGCTACTTGCGCAGCGGCTACGGCTTGTTGTGCCGCCTGCTCATTTTGCAAACACATGTCACAACGTGTATGTTTTACAGCTCCTTTGCGTTTCACCGGCTGTAAAATCTGTGTACCACATGTTGTACATTTACTTTGCTCTAATTTTATTTGCTTCGCATTTCCACTTGTAGTCACTGTCATTTCGTTGCTAGTCGCATTTTGATGATGTTGCTGTAGCACCGTTGTGGCTGGTTCTAATGATTCGGTAGCGACTATTTGAATCTGACCCATTTGTCCATTGTCAGTTATTATGTTCTGTGTCTGAACCAGTCCTTGTGCGTTTACTACAGTTATAGCATCTTGCTGTTGATGTTGTTCTGCGCTGTTGTCCGTATGAATCCTTTTATGATGATTTAACAGAGCCAAATGTGAAAACATCAGTCCACAAACATCACATTTAAAACTGATATTGGAAATAGTATTAGTTAGCGGTGAAATTGTCTGAAAGAAAAAAGCAAATATAAAAAAATACAATTAAAATAAAATTTGATTGAAATTAAAAATTTACTAAAATTGAAATATTACTAAAATTAAAACTTTATTGAAATCAAAAGTTTATTGCATCCCATATTAGCTTCATTGCTAATTATTATAGTAACTATTAGTTTTACATACAAATTAAAAAAAAATATAAAAATATTAAAAAAATATATATAAAAAAATATTAAAAAATGAATATAAAAAACATTAAAAAAAATACATAAAAATATTAAAAAAAAATATATAAAAATATTAAAACAAATATATAAAAATATTAAAAACAATATATAAAAATATTAAAAAAAATATATAAAAATATTAAAAAAAATATATATATATAAAAATATTAAAAAAAATATATATATATAAAAATATTAAAAAAAATAAATATATAAAAAAATTTTTTATAAAAAATATATATATATAAAAAAATAAAAAAAAACAATAAAAAAATAAATAAATAAAAAAAGATAAAAAAATAAATAAATAAAAAAGATAGAAAAATAAATAAATAAAAAAAAAAAGATAAAAAATAAGTAAATAAATAAATAAAAAAAGATAAAAAAAAAATAAATAAAAAAATAAATAAAAAAATAAATAAAAAAATAAATAAAAAAATTAATAAAAAAATATAAAAAAAATATAAAAATAAAATAAAAAAAAATTGTTTGTATTAGTGTTTTACTTATGTGTTTTAAAATTTGCCGGGCTTTAGGTCGTGTTTTTAAATTTGTATTTTTATATAATAACTTATATTATCTAATAAACAAACTTAAGATTAAATAAAAAAATATCACAGTTGTTCACTTATATAATATATTTTATTAACAGATATTTCGGTCTACTTCAGTGTTATTACAATAATACAAATACAATATATAATTGTAAAAAAAATAAATATAAAATATATTAAAAGAAAAATATTGAAAAAAAAATATTAAGATCAAATTGTAAAAAAACAAAGATATATAACAACATTAGCATTTAAAAAATATTGACCATTTTAATAATATTTAACACATTCATATAATGTTGTATGAATGCATATTATTGATGTTTGATATAATTTTTGTTTATTCTTGTTCTATATTATATATGTACAATATTTACATAATGTTATACATAAATTCTTATAGATTGCTAACTATAAACATAGACTCTATATAGCAAAAATGTGTCACATATATTTCCCTATCGTAAAATAGTTTATTTCTTTACAATATAACTAGAGACGACTCTGTCCCTACTTGCAAAGCTCAAATCTGTAAAATATAAAAGAAAAGAATAGCCAAATATATTTAAAAATAATAAATGATTTCAGATGATGGTGCATACGAGTTTTTTTATAATAAAAATACACTATTAATTTCAAATGAACGCCTAGAATCGCGCGACATCGTAACTTTACCACGCTTGCGGTTGTAAGATTCATTAAATCACAATATATATGGCAATATACACGGCTGACGGTAGCGCCGTGTTACATGGCACGCATTTATCACCGCAATTTGTTATTCATATTAATATTCTTAACAGATATTATATTCTTGGAAATCTTTTAGCAAGCTTAGCACAATAGCTCGTCAGTCAGCACAATAACTGGAAAGCATTTGTAAATTCTATAATATAAATTCGATGTACATAAAATGTTCTTTGTAAATAGACTAAATTTGTAATTTTGTTAAAATACAAATATGTCCTAATAATATTGAAAAGAGACACCCAATAGAATTCCAATATTTTTTGAGATTCATACCAGCACGAACATAAAAAAATAGTGGGCATCACTGATATAAAGAGATATTCCTAATCAAAAATATGTATCCCCATCTTCATTAAACTGAAACTCAAAAAGAATCGTTGTTTAATATTCACACTGTTTACATTAACTTGCCAAGAACCGGATATACCAAGAGTATTAAAATTAGCCACAAAAAAATTCTTTGGAATAATCGTTGTTATAACCCGAGTAGATCTATATAGCAAGAAAAATGAAAGATATATAATCCATTCTTATACACTTCTCAGCAATACTCTCCTCCCCTCCCACAATACCATCATCTATTTTTGTTGTCTGCTTGACAGATCATGTTGTCTGCTTGACAGATCTCTACGAGCTACAACATCAACAAAAGAATAAAATATGCGAATACATATGTTAGCATATGGATAAGATAGGGAATAAGTAAGAAGAGGGTTAAGATTGATTTGTGGTAAGAAATGGTTAAAGAGTAGGTTTAATTTAATTGAAACTAGTCTATGGCTAGGCAAAAAAATCTTGCTACTTCAATGGATCAAAGAGAAAACAAGAACAGCTCTTAGAAACCAGCTGTATATTGAACAAGATTTCTCATATTCCTCTTCAACATACATAAGTACACTTGAGGACAATTTCATATAAGTGTCAGTCGACATATAAGTGTAAACTAAAATTAGTGTGAGCATTTAATTAAATATTTTTTCATACATATTTCATACAAATAGTATTTTTTTATTTATTTACTGCAGATTTATGCCATAAAGCAGAATCCATAACTTCAAAAATAGTATTCTTTTAACAAATGATTTGAGAGAACCGCTTGATTTTTTAATCACCGTTTTTAAGAGATTAAATACATTTAATATCGTCAAGCATTTTAAGTTGGGGGACACAAACAAAGTAACTATTAAATTTAAATAAAATAATCAGTTTAGATACATATCAGAACTACACAAGTATTTCATGTACCAATTGGCTTGTAGTCAAAACTAATATCTGGTGGTTTCCAGTACAAAGTTACAGGCGATAAAGTTATTCGCAAAAAATTTTCAGATTAGAAGAATTAATCAAAAAGTAATGTCATATAGTCATCGTTGTAACCAGACATAAATTTCAAAGTCATATTTTAATTTTTTTTTTAATTAGCACAAATCGCGTCACTCTCAAAAGTCGAAAAATTCGAGTATTAAACGCCTAATTGGAGTGGTACCCTACATATATGTTTATGTTGTTGTAGCCCGCAAGAATATGTCTGTGTAGTCTCTTTTTAAATTGTTGAACGACAGTTGGTCGTCAAACTCGAGAAGTGATTCCTGGACGTAGAGCTGGCCGTCCCTAAAACCATGTGTTTAGGTAGATCCTTTCCTTGCCTTGAAAAGTCTGCTCAAGTTGGCTTTCTTGTGAATGATAAAAATGCGACAAAAAAAAGTGAAGGAACGACAGCAGTCGTCAATAGAATGAAATTCATAAAAAGCTACAGCTGCTTCCTGGCTATAGAAAATAGAGTCCATTTGCAAGTTAATATCTTGGCATTACGTATTGTTTTGAATTTTTTACTAGATGAATATAATTACTTCACTAAAACTGCCACACATTTATACATTACATAGTTCTTATAACATTTTTAATTTTTATAAATAAAAAATAAAATATTAAAAATAATGCAAAAAAAAAGTTATTAACTTTCATTGGGTAACATACACTTACTGTTGCAATGGGTTTGTTCTGATTAACAATCTGTAAGCGACCCTGCGCATCCAATGTAGCAATACCAATTGTGCCACCTTGATTTAATTGCATCCCATTAACTAAAGCATAATTGTAACCACCAACTGGCTGAGCAATATAACAAGTTTTCGTATCATCAGTGGCCAGTTGTGCTAAATTTACGGTAGCATTACCCTGTGTTCGGAAAAATGATAATCATATATTAACATCTGAATATATATATAGTAATAATTTTGCTTACATTTGTCGTATAATAAAATGTTGGTTGGTCTGTTTTTTGACCTTCAATTTTAGGCTGCTTTAGTATAGTACCATCTGCAGTTTGATATTGTATAGCTGTAGGTTGTCCATTTGCACCAATTGTATTGGTAGCAAATATGATGTTTTTGGTGATATCTTCCATCATTTGTAATAGCTTGCTTTATAAACTAGAAGCACACAAAATTAAATATATATCAATAGTACATACAAAAAAGAAAAAACATATTGTTTTTCGATAAAATAATATCCAAAATAGCTATTATTTCTTTTAAATCATATTTATAATAAATAATATGGTTAATAAATATTGATTATATATACAATCTAGCGGTTAAGATCGATGTAGACCTAAGATACTAAAGCGCGAAAACTGTACGAGTCTTACGAAAATCCACCATAGAAACAATAAAACCGGCTTCTTGTCCCACAAGGATCTATTAAGCAGATAATATGAAAGGAATTACAAAATATACATCTTTATGAATCAGGATATGGGTTGTTGTATCACGCGGGGATCTAAAAGCAGATAACATGAGAGATTTTACAACACGAATACATGGATTAGGAAGTGCATGGGCGATATCTTTTGTTGAAGATAGAAAAGAAATAAGGGAGAAGGGAGTGGAAGTATCAAAAACGGCCGAGTCTACGTCCCGGAGCAAATTTTCAATTTCGATGACAAAATGTCGTTTAACACCCCCCCTAAAGGGATTTCACAAAAATGTATGTAAATAATAGTAGTGTAAGCGGGAAGGGAATTATTTCGAAAAAGACAGGCTTTGAAAGCGATAATTATAAGCCCGCCTTTACTCATACACTTCTACCTCAACTGTATAACTTTGCTTATATATCATCCGATCCTGCAAAAAACAGCAATAACAGACATCAAAACATAGATACATTTAACACCTTGGGGAATACGTAAACCAGGAACATCACTCAAACTATATAACGACCGCTAAATATCTCTGCCGTCAAAATTAAATAACGAAAATATTATGTGCTACTAATGTTGTAAATAATAATGTATGACAACAATAAAAGGTAAAAAAAAACAAAAGAAATATTTTTCACATATATAAAAAAAAAAAAACTTGCAAATTAAATAAACCAAAATTTCGCTTCTTTGTATTATTTAAATAATAAATTAATTGTTTATTATATTTTTAAAAAAACTAGTCTATTTACAAAAGTTGAATTAATGCAATTTCGATTAATTTAATTCATATTTGTAATTATTTTTTTTTGTTTTTATTTTGTATTTTACTTTCGCGCCAAATATTCCTTCTTATATTTCCACTGCACGAGTATTAAGACAGAATAATTTTTTGTTTGGCAATGCCATTGGTAGGAAAGTGATGCCACTACAAAATGCGAAATGTCAATGTAAAAGGAGACAAAACTACGTAATAAAATATACAACAGAAAAGAAAAATCATGGAAAACATGAGCTGAAATAATAAAAAATGACGGCTGCAAAAATGAGAAACATGTTGAAAACTGCGTCTGTATGTCGATTAAGCAAAAGGGAGAGAAAAGACAAAACGAAACGAAATATAAAGCGATAAGGGGAGAGACGTTCTCCAGCCGATATACCAAACTAGCTTGTCTGCTTTTACAAATGAATAAGATAAAAATATTTGTTTGTTTACTAAACTTTCAAAATCTAATACCGACTTTAACAATTAGAAGTCGAAAGCGCCTTTGTCAAGCGATAAACAAAATTGCACATATTTTACAGTTTTCGTAGACATAATGCAAACAATGGTAAATACACTCAGATTTTGGCTACAAAAATATACACACACCTTTTCTATGAACTTTGAATACACACAGTCAGTCACCACTTGCAATTACTTGACTTATACAATTCGTCTAATTAATTTTAAAGACATAAAATTATTTAAATTCTTATTGAAAACTTCACTTTATTTATTTAGTGTAATTTTATGTTTGTTTCTTTTTCTAGCAAATTCAATTATAAAACTTTTGTATGAGACGGAAAAAGTTTTACAAGACAAAATATATTTACAATAAATCGTTTATGTAGCGACTACGTCGTCTTTTTTTCTCGTTTGCCAACGCTACTTATCATACCGCAGGGAGTAAGTGTGTATGTTAAAGCAGAAGCATCACAAAATAGACAAGAAAAGCAATATGGCGGAGCAGACAGGATTCGACAAAATTAGTTTCACATTTATTAAATTTAGTTATTTTATTATTAAACACTATTTAATTTTATTTTCTTACATATTAATTCAGTCCACTATCTACAAATTTAATCGTTATCTTCTTTAAACCGAATAATTATATCACAGCAGCAGATTTGCTTAACTGTTCGCACGCGTTAACACCAACGTGATGTTCAAAATCTGAAACGAGACTGAATTGAACTAAGAGAGCATGTGTGAAAGGGATAAATTCACCTAATGCTGAGTTGACAGCTGTCAAAAGTCATGTTGGGTTTCGCTCACGCCTTCTATGTTGAAAAGAGTAAATTATATGAGGAATGAGTGACCAGAGCAAAACGCAAAATGAAATGAGTGAATGAATAAATTTTTTATGTGTAAATGAAAAGTTCCAATCACTTTCAAACTCTAATAGAATTTCATAAATTCAAATTTTTACCACTGCTAAAAATTAATTATTTTTAACTGTGTTATTATTTTTTTTATTACAAAAGTGAACATCATGATAATTTACTATAATAGTAATAATTTTGGTGACAATAGCTGATATATGTATATAGTGTGAAAATTAGTAAGATAGCACTAGTACAGTATTAATTTTAAGCTTGCAAAAAAGCACATATTAGATTTTCTCACATATTAAAATTGTTTTAAATTACTTAAGTGTTATAAATGTGCTAAATAATTTTAAAAAATGTCTATATTAAGCATATTAACAAATTTTAGTATCATATTCTTCAAGCTAAGTTGCTATATTGTTAAACTCCACCTGTCGAATCAGCTGTTGTCAATTTGTATACATTGTATTTTTTGAGGAATGCTTCAAAAATTTCATAAATAATGAAATGGGAGATATCTGAGTATATGTTTTTACTATTCTCATCGTAAAGTTATAAAATTTAATTGTTGAAATCGTAAATTCTATTATGCTCATTTTATTTTATATAAAAGTCAGGAAATGGAAAGAACAAAAGAAAGTAAAATTAAAACTGATATAAAGATTCTTCTATGATACAATTTTTAATAACTTTCAATCTTTCATTATATATATTATCTTTTTAAAAATGATACAATAATGATAATCAGCTAAAATTTTAATGAATTGCGAATACATTATTAGAATTGTTGTCTCTGTGTAATTTGTCAAACTCTCAAGGCTCAGTTAGACGGTAGGTAATGTAAGAAATGCACAACCAACCAAACCTGCGTATTTGATAGAAACGAAATAAACAAAGTACACCGTTTTTGTTTATTTTAAACCTATTAAATACGCAGGTTTGGTTGGTTGTGCATTTCGTTTTGAATTAATTTTTTAGTCAAACTTAAGCCAAAGCGAAATGCGTAACCAACCACACCTGTGTATTTAATAAGAAATAAATTAACAAAAACGGCGAACTTTATTATTTTGTTCCTGTCAAACACACGTTTAAGTTCTTACGGTACGTACCAATTAACTGAGCCTTAACTCGGTAACATTGAAATTTGACAAAAAGAAATATTTATAATTAAACTAGTTGTGAGTGCGCATTTTTAAATATTATTTTAATTTTAAAAAATAAATTTATATATAATTTTATCAGGTTACCGAGTTATGGAACATATACTTATATCCGTATTAATAAAATATGTGGAAATTTTAAAATTTGATTAAATTTAGAAGTAGACAAATGTACGTGTGCTGATGAATATATGCAATAAACAAGTGTTAGATAAAGCATAATAATTTCTAACTATTATTAGCTCCTTTTTATCAAACAATTAACAGATCAACATGAACACGGGAAGTAATTACAAGTAATTTAGCTACTACACAATCTGTTTCAATGTGAACTAAATGTGCGAAATAAAAGTGAAATGTAATTAAGAAAAAATTACGTTAACAATGCTACTTTTTAATATTTACGATGCAAGAAGAATACACAGCAAGCTAAAAATCGTATATCAAAGTCGTGAGCAGAAGGATAACACAAGCTATTATAAATAAATAAACAGATGGCATATATTTATATTGTCATATACTACCAACTACTTAAATTTCTAATCGGTATTGTTTGAGGAAAAAAAGTAAAGGCAACAACTAGTTGAAACGTCTTTGGTTACTGATTCAACCGTTTCCAACTGGGCAGTAACACACAAATGTCTCACGATAAAGGAGAAAAGTATTGTTACTCTTTTCGTAATTAAGACTACAGAGTTTTGGATATGCATATTTTGTCATAAGAAGTATTATACTAGTTGGTATTCTAGAGGAATAAGTATAATAAACTCTAATAGGAAACAAGGGGTAACGTAGAGGGTTGGCATATGAAAATGAGTATTGTAATAAGCAGTTCACACTGCGGGATTTAATGTTGGTTAACTGTATATTTGGGTTGCGTTGTTGTTGTTTTCCGTTGATTTTTTTTGTCTCTAAACTAATTTACTGAAAATGTGTTTATTCTTTCTAGATCAAAAATCTTAAAAAATCTTAAAATCTTATATTAATATTTAGTTCATAACTACCCAGTAGCATTTTAAGTAGAACTTCAAACAAACATCTTAAGAAGTGTTTCTTAATTTATTATGTAGTTCATTACTTTTCGAAATCTTTCTACTAGATTATATAAAAAAAAATTATATCATTGAACAAAAACACTAAAAACATAAAACTATGTATTTAATTTAATTCATTTCCCTTGCAGTGTGATATTTTTACTTTCCTACCGCCGAGCTGGAACCATATAACTGCAGTAATCATATGGCAATGACATTACAAAAACAGTAATGAAAACTACAAGTTGCGGATTTCAATGTCCGAGTCGAATACATTAACTGAAATTGGTAGATTAAAGAAAAGATTTCTCCCAGGGAATGGCGCATGAAAATTATAATGTGAACGTTCACTCATTAATATAAATGAGCAAGTAGCCAAATGAGACAGTGTGAATGTTCTATAAGAAAAGTAAGAACAAAAAGTTAAATGCAACCCTCAAAAATAGATTTCTCACAAGCAAAATTATTGAGATTAGCAATATTTGTCATAGGTTTTATATGTTAAATGTGAAGAAACAGCAGTTGAGCTATACACAAACATACTAAGTATTTAATAAAATCTTTGTTTATATATATATATATATATATATATATATATATATACATATATATATATATATTTAATCAATAAACTATATATATAACTATTTGTGTGATATTTTATTGTGTGAAATTTTTTAAAGCAAACATAGGCTCTCATTAGTCTTTCAAAAAACTTTCTGACATATAAAAGATCTTTCTCATGCAATAAGTAACTTATGCCAGTGGAAACAACAAAATCTTAAAGTTACTTAAGTAAGTTACTAAGTAATTCATTTGTCATTTTTTATTTTATTGAAGTCATCATATCATACACTATAAGTTTTAATGTGGGCGAATAAATAACAGTACAGCTCATACGCAATGAGAGACCACAAATTATAAAAAGATTTAAATAATAATTTTGCTAATGTTTATATTAAAGGATATTCAAATATATCAAATATGCCCTGATTTTTCGAATTTTTAGTCGGCAACTGTATCAGCGCAAAATACATATGTATATAGTTAATATTGCAGATACTGTATAACTGTTTGAGGCAAAGTTGACTAAATTAAATTTACCGAATAATATAGCTTTAATAGTTTTTGATTATTTCAGAAGACAAGAAGTACATGCGAATAGAGAAAAAATTGCTGAAAGAGTGTAATAAGTACCTATGTTTTATTTGTAAATCCATTCTTTTATTAAAAAAGTACCCAGTTCTTGATATATAGCGCAAAAAAGCAGAGAACTTTTTAAGTGTTAATAATACTAGTTTCGGACAAGATGGTCATAACATTAGGGTGTTTCGTTCCAGAGCGCAGAACTATTGAAGACATGAACGTTTTGTAGGAAGAAAAAAAAAATTAAACCAAGGTTTTAAAAAATGTATGTATTTTTTTGCTCATGAGCGCAGTATGTTCAATTGCCTACCGAGGCTAAAGGTAAATCTAAACTATCTTTAGCCGGAAACAACTCAAAAATAGTTTATTTAAGTATGTCAGGTCTTGTGCAAATGTCGAAGAGAGCAACATGTAGCACACTTAAATGATCGATTATAGAAAAACGGTATTTTATAGATGATACATTTTTTTGCGAAAATGTTGTACGAAGAATTAATAGAGAGAGAGAGAGAGCTTTGCAATGAAATGAAACAAGTAGAATTTAAAAAAAAGATAACAATTTATTAAAAAATATATATCTTCATAATGCTATTTTATATGAATAAGCCCTTTCGATTTTAGATCGTGAAGTGGTATTTCTTTAAACTGCAATTTAACCATTAAAGATTAAAATATAGTTATCCTCTAAAGAATATTACCCAGTAACAGTATCTCATTTTAAAGAACTATTTAGATTTTATGAAAAGTTGGAATAGCTTTGAACCCTTTAAGTTTTTTATGGAGAGAGTAATAGGTCAGTTAAGAGATTGGATTGACCTTATTGTTATATGAAATAGTATTATATAATATATAATCAAATAATATAAAATTGTTATAAAATGGAATTACATTCTATAGAATCTTAATCAGTAACAAAATCTTCGCTGAAATACCTATTTAGGTTTTTTTTTAATATTCAAATGTTTTTAAACCTTAAGAGTTTTTTCATGAAAAAAATGTACTATATATTTTGTCTAACTCGCTAGGATCTTATTTTGTGGATCGCTAGGATCTTATATATTATTGCAAATAGCAGTGATTAATACTATAATTATTCGGAGAAGCCAACACTTTTTCTATGGTAAGCAGATATTGGCAAGCACTAAAGAGTGAAGTCTTTACAAGTGCATTAACTCTAGAACAATAAACATTGTTAAAGCGGACGTAATACTTAGTACGCAATCAGAGTGAAAGCACACTGTTCTTCTAACCTGCTCTGTGAAGAAATATCTTAACTGGTCATACTGCAGGGATCTCCAGTATTTTGAGCTGAGAATGTGTAGACTTTTTAGTTCGTAGACATGTATGACTCGTAGTCGTATAAAGTTTTTTCCTCTAGATTTAATTAACCTAATTATTAAGTTAATTGCTAAGTAATATATATATATATTTTTTTTTGTCACAAAACAGAAAAATAAGGCAAGTCTCAGCGGAAAGGAAATTTATAAAAATCTATGAACTTTCATCATGGAACTTTTTCTGACT